ATTTTTAATAATTGATACTTATTATTTAAAATCCTCATACTATCAATTGTTAGATATTAGCTATTAGCTACAAGGGTGTTTGGAAAGTTTAAAAAGCACTCACTTTAAAAACAAATTCTTCTCTCACAAATCTAAAATTTTATTGGAGAAAAATACTTAACTTTACTTTTAAAATAGCTTTTAAGTAAGTTTTGAAAAACAACTAAACCAATTAAAACTTAAATTGGCCTTTCTAGTTTGAGTCCCCTCCCTCTAAAAATGTAGAAAAACTCTAGTTTGAGATCCGCACACCCAAAAAAAAAAAAACAAACCCTATATTTTTCTTCTATTATTATTTATCTTTAAATTTTATAAACATTATTTGATTTAATTAATATATATTTTATATCATCTTTCTAATTAAGTGTTAATTCTTTTTTTTATTTTTTTATTGCAGGTGGTATGGTAGGCAAGTTTCATTTGGCAAGAACATTGCCGTTATTTTCTAGGCTCCGTAGTTTTCTCTGTATTTCTGTCTCATGTATCAAAAATCCTTGAAGTATCAATCCATTAGAACCAGGTACAGATTTCTCATCCCATGTTTTAGATTGAAACCAGAAATTCCTAATTCAACTAGGGTATAGAAATTCCTAATTCAAATAGGGCCTGGAAGATGAAAAAAGAAGAAGGAAATACTTGTTAAAAATAAAAGACTCCAAGAATGATTCTTAAACAACACTTAATAAAATTGTTAAGGAATCCTAAAACTGATTCTTTCTTGTTCCCCATCATAGAGGTTTTCCATTCGATATAGAAAGGGTAAGAAAATATTGAAAGGAGAGATAAGAGTTTTAAGTTTTGTAAGACTATATAATTTTTTTGTTTTGAAGTACTCTTATACATGTTACAATTAGAGGTCTGTTTGGATTATAAGTATAAGGGGAAAAGTACTGTATGAAAGTTGTTGGACGAGTATTTTATTTATATGGAAATTTAAAAAGTGTTGTATAAAATATTTATAATGTCTGTAATAATATTTTGTTAGAAATGTCTCATATTTGATAAGTAGTTGAAGAGCAAAATTTTGGGTCAGAGTGCCAATTTTATTATTTAAATTTTTATTATGAACAAGAATTAACTTACACTGGTGTGTGTTTGAGATCTTCTTATACCAGCTAAAAAAATGGAATTTTTTTATTTCTAATTTTTAGTTATACATTTTAAAATTTAAAGGGTTATTCTGGAATTTAAGTATTGCATTAACTATTCTTGAAATTTTAAAATGAGTGATTGAAAATTAGTGTAAAACTTTTAAACCTGATTTGATTATTATAATATTAAAAATTACGAAGATTAAATTACTCCCAACTTTATAAGAAGGTTGGGGAAGTATCCTTAAACCAAACACAACCTAGGGGTAAAATATAAACTCTTTTAAAATCTTTGGTTTGAGGGAAATGGGGGGTGGAAATGATCCCTCTCCTTCCCTCCCTTTCAAATTTTTTGTCAACCATATACAGTGGAATGGAAGGATAAGACATCCTTCCATTTCCTTCTCCTTCTTTCCTCACTTTCAAATTTTTTGCAAACCATTTGAAGCTGCTTCCTTCCCCCCCTCAAACCAAACATATAATTTAATTTTTAGAGTTAGTAGATTGCCCTATAGCGATAACGTTACACGCATATCCCTACATATATATTATTTTCCTTTATTTAAGTTAAAAACATACCATCATATACTAACCTTATCTTAAATCTTTTCCATTCCAGCTCTAGTTGATTAAGCTAAAAAAAAAAGGGGAAGAAGACAAAGCACTTCCCAAGTTGAGCATTCTAGTTAACTTCCTGGTCCGCTCGAGTAATAGTTCGGGGTAAGTACTTCGGTAATTTACAGAAAATATTTTGAAATTTCCTTTAGTTAATAAAATTATATTTAAGGAATAGTGTATATCAATTTTGATTTTCATATAGAATTAAAATTTCAATTGTAAAAATACTATTCTTCAATAAATATTTTAAAAAATTGACTATTAGACTTAATATTTTATTTATATAGATTATATATGTCAATTTTTAAATTAATTGAATTATTATAAACTTCATTAAGAAATACTATAATAACCTATTTTTAAAGTTTAGTTTTTTTTAGTATTTTATTGAAACGACATAATTTATCTCAGTTGATTTTTATTTTTAAATTTTAGATTATAAATCTATTGAAATACGTATTTTTTTAGTCTCTCAATTATGAAAAATATACTTTTTAATCCTTTCATCACTTAATCCATTAGGTCTGTTCATATATACACTTGTTTAATTCTTCTATTAGTTAATCTGTTAAATTTGTCCATATATGTATATTTTTAATCTTTGAACTTTTGAGTTGAGGGACAAAAATGTGTATATATTATAAGTTGAAGTACTAAAAATGTGCATATGTGCATTTCCTTAATGGACTAATTTATGGAAGGACTAAGAATGTGTATTTTTTATAGTTAAGGGACTAAAAAAGAGTAAAAAAAGTTAAAAAATGAAAATTGTGTAAAGTCCAAAAATTGAGGGACCAAAATTAGCTTTCAATTTAATTATAATGGTATAAAATGTTAAGGCAAAAGCTGAAAGATATAGTCTCAACCAAAATTATTAAGAGGATATAATGATAAAATTTGAGTAGTAAGCTAAGAGATCGAGGTTTTAGGAAGAGTAATGAAATTTAGAGTAAAGTTGGGTGAAAATATATTGAGATAATAATGCCAGGAAGTTTCAACTTTTATATTTTAATATAAAATATTTCTAATAAAAAGAAAAGAAGAGATAAAAAATTAAGGTAAGAAAAGAGACATATAACGATTTATTTAG